TCAAAAGGGAAATAAGAGTATAATAATAGTGTGATTTAAGAATACACATTGACAGAGTGATGAGAAAGTGATGAAAGAGTAATATGACAGTGTGATCAGTCAACTACCGGTGATCGATGGTAGCAGCACTTTGGTAGTTTGGTTACCACCGGCGATAGATGACAGTTTGGCAGTGATAGTGTGGCACTTGTAGATTTATAATATGGTGAGAGTGACAGTTTAACACTAACAATCTAAATTTTTATTTTGGTCTTAAAAGACTTAATAGTCCTATTCTAGTATATTCATAGTCTTTTATTATTATCCATGGAGTTCTCGGCTTCTCGCATATATAATTGAGATTAAAGGACGGGTTGGAATGTCGGAGGATCAAATGAGAGAAAATAAATTTAACTTTAACTAATTGACAGAAAAATGATGGAATCTATACTTGATACTTGCAGATACTTTATATTTAAAATAGTTGTCTATAACGAGAATCGAATTCGAATATTATCACATTAATACTCCCTCCGCCCCAGTGTATTTGTCCAGTTTGACTTTTCTGAGTCAAACTGGACAAACTTTGAACTTCAATTAAATAAAAACTGCAATGTATTTTAACATAAAAATGACTTTATTGGATTTATCGAGAACTTTCAAAATTATATTTCATTATGCTAATATGCAATATGAATTGAGAGTAATTGGAGTTCAAAGTTTGTCCAGTTTGATTCGAAAAAATTAAACTGGACAAATACACTGGACGGAACGGAAGTACTATTTTTAAAATTGGCAATTTAAAAAAATTGAAAAGAGAAGAAAAAGTGATCACATGTGTCTTCCTCTCTCCCCTGGTCGGATTATCGGACCCATTCCTTGATTTCTCCTTCCCAAACCGACAAACACTGTACTCTCTCCTCCGCAATCAATTGGATTCCGAATCACTTCATTTTAGTTTTCTTTGTTCAAATTTATTGTTCGGGTGTAGTTGACAAGGTAAGGGATGCACGAAGGGAAATATTCAAGTTTAATTTCTACCCACTACATTGAAAAGAAACTATACTAAACATAAGTTTTTTGTAAATAACATATGCAAGTTTTACTTTTTGTCATCAATATGTAATGAAAGCCTGATTTATTTTCTCTCTAGTACCGTTCTGGCCAGTATCGAGGCACCTCAGAGATGGGTTCATCCTTTATTTTGTTCAAAATTGTTTCGTAATTATTTATTTTTCATGTTCAATGAAAGTAGGGCATGATTTCATTGACACTGCCTAACGTGCCATTGTATTTTTAGAACACCTTCGTGTCCATTGACAAAATTGATGGGTCTGATCCTCTCTAACCCCCTTGCCCCGTACCCCAGTCTCCAAACTTCCCTCCAAATGTGTGGCTATTATATATGCAAATATGCAATGCATAATAGCCACATATTTAGTGGAGACTTAAGGGGTTGGGAGGGGTTTAGAGAGACTAGGAGCAATCCATTTTACGAATAAAACTTCGGAGGTACTTTATAAACACAATGGGACCACTAGTGATACGGTTGGCCACTGTCAATGGAATCTTACTTATGAAAATAATAAATTTTATACTCCGTAATAAATTATCGGAGGTACTCTAAAAACACAATGAGACCACTAGTGATATGGTTGGCCACTGTCAATGGAATCCTACTTATGAAAATAATAAAGTTTTATACTCAGTAATAAATTATCCAACCCAAATTAGAGATAGATTACTGAATATAAAAATCACCTTAAATAGAACTAAAACATAGAAAAATGTATCAAAATAGGAGTTCCATGTTTTTATTTCCAAAATAAGACTCCGCACTGTGATAATGTGATTGTAATGTGACACTGTACATGAGCACATTACTATACTTTTTGATAATGTAAATACATTCTAACTCTTATTTTGGGAATAAAAATATAGAAGTCCTATTTTATTATATTTTCAATGTTTTGATTGTACTTTAAGTTTTTACCCTTATGAATATTATTGGCATAAATTACTGAAGACGCATCCAATGACTTATTTGTCATAAACTGATATAGAAAAATAAGTTTTATAAAGAAAAAGATTTAAAAAAATTTGAATAATAAATTTGGAAGAATAGATTAGTAAATTTGAAATGATTAGTACATTTATTGCCAAAATAAATTTGCCAAAATTTATTATTAGTAAATTTGAATAAACTTATAATGATTAGTACATTTATTGCCAAAATAAATTTGGAAAAAATTTGAATAATAAATTTGGATGTTGACTTTTTTGGCAAAATATTTAATTAGTACGATTGAGTAAGAGTTTTTTTTCGTTCTATTTATATTTTCATATCACTACTTATTCTTTTTTAAACTTAGGAAAAGGACTAAAGTGAGAGTAAAACATTAAAAATATACCAAAATATGACATCTATGTTTTTATTATTGAAATAAGAGTTAAAATGTATTTACATTACCAAATGTGGTCATGTACATTACCAAAAAATATAGTAATGTGCACTTGTACAGTGCCACACATTACCTCCATATTAGCACAAGGCAAATTCCTATTTCGAGAATAAAAGCATGAAAGTCCTATTTAAGTACTTTTTCTATGATTTAATCTTATTTATGGTTATTTCTATTTAAATTTCAATAAGATCATACCTAATAAGATTCAATCAGATCAGATCTAATAAGATCATGACCATATTTGGTAAATGGAGGTTCAACGAGTTTTTTCTTTTTTGGATCATAAATGGCTGATTGGACTAATCAAACCGCTAAATTGATTGTTTAGATAATGGCATCCAGAATTCACTTTTGGAACCAAACAGCCAAAAATTGAAATGCCAAGCATAGCAACTTTTATGTTTGGTTGGAAGGGAGTGGAGGGGAAAGAATGGATTGGAGGGAATAGGAAGAGAAGGGAAGGGTTCTCTTCACCTTGTTTGTTTTGGAGGGGAAGGAAATGTTTTATTTTTAATTTTTTATTTATAGTTTTCATTTTTAAAACTCTTTTTTATCTATTTTTAAAAAATTATTATCAGTGTCTTTTATTTTATTCATTCATTTTTTATAATTTTAATTTTTTTATTTTCTTATGTAATTTATTTTTTTAAATTTAATTAAGTGTGTGTGCGTGTGTGCGTGTTTATATATATATATATATATATATATATATATATATATATATATATATATATATATATATATATATATATATATATATATATATATATATATATATATATATATATATATATATCAAGAAATAACTTTAATCTGAAAGTGATCCCAAGATTTGTTTAGTCTATCAAGTCTCTTCATGTTCATTCGCACACTGATCTCTATAACGCTACTACGTTGAGGTATTATATACCCCTCTTGAATTTTCAAGAATATTTGATAAAATTTATTTTGCCATTATATATTTTGTGCATCTTAATTAGAGTGTAAATAAATATCATATTTTTAACCTATAGATAGACTTATTTTTCTTCATTGTAAGACATCACTTAACAATAAATTATGTGTTATTTTTTACCTTTGAGTTTGGGAGACTTGTGAGAATTTTAAATTAAAGTATTTGTTATTGATCAATTCTTTAACATAAAATATAATTCAGGAATTAATTCATTGTGTTAGTATTGGTTTGCTAAATCTTATGTTTGGATGTTAACGAATAATATATTTTCTAATGTTTGTTTGAGGGTTTCATGTACAACAGAAATCCATAAGAATCAATACTTTAGAACAAATTTGAAACACCTAACTAGCGTAAAATATAGGTAGAAATAAATGTAAGGACATACTTTTATACACCTATATTTACAAGCTCAAATGCACTCACAAAATATATGTTTAAAACCATCTCAAAATCTCTTTTAAACCTCCAAAATGTTTTAAACCAAATTGAAAAGGATTAGGCCTAAGACAGAACAATTTTCACTGTAAAAATGCATGTAGCTGTACTTCCACTACGTCAAAAACAGATGCTGACAACGGTTTCTTTTAGTAGTCTCACGGTGCTGATTTCAGTAGTCTTCCGAGCAGCTGTCTGATATATTTACAGACTATTGTTTAAAAACAGTTGTGTAAAATGGTTGACGACACCTGTTTTGTAATGTTTTAGAGTACGACTTTTTAGTGTTGTCCTTGTTTGAGTAAGACATCTGTTTTTTAGAGTTAAAGAGAACTGTGATTTTTTGTTGTCTATGTATAATGAATACTACTGTTGTTTTTAACTTTAGACTTATAATTCTTGGTGTTGTCGTTCAACAATATAGACATCTACTTTAAAAAGTAATTGAAAGATATATCAGACTGCTGCTCGGAAGACTACTAAACAAAAATGTCATCAAACAACTGCTATCTTTTGTTGTATTTCTAGAATATGGACTACTAACATTATTCTTATTCAAACTATTGTTTGTTTTAGTTGTATATTGATTATTAACACAATAGTGTTTTGTAGTTTTTCTTTAAATATTCAAACTATCTTTTATGACAGTAGTTGAATTGTTTATGAGACAGCTACTCTAAAGATTACTAAATAAATTTGCTTCAGACAACCATTATTTCGCGTTGTATTTTAAAAATATGAACTACTGTTTTTGTAGTATTTCAAACAACTGTTTGTTTTGATCGTCTACATGTTATTAATACTACGAGTTTGTGTAGTTGTACATATACTCTTCAAACTATTAGTTTGAATGGTAGTTAAATTTTTTATTAGACAGCTGTTATCTTGTGTTGATTACCAAATAAATATAAATTCAAAAAATACAATATATTGAACAATATATAAATTCATACATTTAAAATACTATCAACATCTAATAATTTAATATTTACATCATCTTCCTTACAATTTGCATATTCTACATGTCTGCCTTTTCAATCCATCCTATTCCTCTGTGGAAAAATCCAATACGAATCCGTATTTCACGTCGGCTTTGGCTAGGCGTTCCATGGCGGTGTTGACAGTCCATCGGCACAATCTCAACATCGGGCGTAATGTTATGTTGGCTTGAGTCTCCTTTAATTTATTCAAGCGATGCCACTTCCTACAACCAATTTTCTGCCTGCGATCCACAATCAAAACATGAAATTAATTTCATTTAGTTCATTTTAGATCAATGCCAAGGCGGAGCAGAGATATGTACAACACGTGAATGGAAGTGTGGCTAATATTACATACCCATGATCAAGGGAAACGCCAACAAGTCAAGGGGTTTCTCCGGGAGACCTACCAATACAAGCTTACCATTGATCTTCAATAAGCTTAGTAGTGGCGTAAGAGGATGAACTGCAGAAACTGTGTCGATTATCCCATCAAGTGTGCTCTTTGTAGCCTTTTTTCCATATATACCAAAACCAATTATAAACCATATCATCATCAGAATTGTTAGCGAAATGAATAATAATACTCTCTAAATATGAATAAATTAATCATAACTTACCTGCGAAATTCCATTGTATAATTACAATAGAATCCATCTGCAGCTAATTGATTCACCAACATTATCAACACACTAAATCTATCCTCCATTACATCATTCCTGCGCATTTAATAATTGAAAATTGAAAAGACTCAAGATGAACACCACAAACTGAAAAAAGTTACAGTAGGTAAATAAACCAAAAAGTTGTAGCACATACAAATCGAACAACAAGACGGTATTTCGGGGTGATATATTTGTTCTTGTTCTGATTGATCAGCCGAATCCTAGCTTTGTAATCTGTCTTTCCCTCTGCACAAAACACAAAAACATGAGAGATCTAACAGAAAGAAACCCATTGACGAAGCTAAATTCGATTTCAAAGGTCTATTCAAAATTCAAACCTCATCTTCTCTTGAACTTGACCGGAAAGTGCTAGAAGTAAGCCCTTGACTTCTGGACTTTGACGAACACCTGCACATGAATTTTATCAACAATGACTGTCAGAAACTTGATTTGTTCTAGACCGGTCTGCCGTTTAGACGCCGTCGCTGCTTTTCTCGCCGGAGCAGAGGCTCGCCACCAGATTCCTCGCCGGATTTCGCTGGCTCAATTCTCGCCGTTGGTTCAGTCGCCAGAGCAGAGGTGAACCGCATGATGTCTGGGCTGGTTCGCCGGAATAGATGGTAGTGGCTGACTGGACGTCGCCGGAAGGAAGTCGCCGATTGCCGCTGCGCTTCGCCGGAGTTCTCTCACCGTCGCCAGAGCACCGCCTCCTCAGGCGGTTGCTGTTGTTGAATCGACGAAGGAAACTCGCCGACTGTCGCCAACAACAACAAACAGTAGTCTGATTTTTTTTAACTACTGTTTTTCCATAAACCGTAGTTAATGAACAGTCGTCTGACACTGTTTTTGGCGTAGTGTTCACAACCGCCTAACGATAAGTCACTATCGTCTCCATCAAAAACTGCAAGGCATTCTAGTATGCAAATGCGTGTGATGGTACGCAACTATCGTGTGACGGTAATTGACTATTGTCTTATTGTTAAAGCTTCAAATTTGAATTTTAATTACCTTTGACCAACCCTAATCACCCTTGAACGATCATCAACATTTACTTATCTTTCTCAACTATAAATAGGGACATAATCATTCATTTGAAATAAGAACCCAAGCTCTCAAACTCTATATTTCATATTCTAAGTGTGTTCATTTTTTGGTTCTTCATTCTTATTATTTTGGCTATTTCAATAGTCGTTTTCTCCTAATTTTTACACAAACACTATTGAGCTTGTGGCGTAGATATATAATGTCATATGGTCTTGTATCTTTTCTAGAGAGGATATCTTTGTTCTACATTTTTGCCTAAGTCTTATTCTTCATCATCATGTTAAACAGTTTGTTGGATTTACAAAAGGAAGAACACTGCGAAGCAGTGTTTAAAGAAGAACTCGATAGTATAACGAATCGCGTACGAAACGCTTTCAGATCAAAGTTATTTCGGGGTATACGAAATACTTCAATCGGATAAGACGTTAATCAAGAACGAGCACTCAAGAATCGGTCACCCAACCCATACCACGAGACTCTATTTTATAGAGTCGAAAATCCTTGTGATCGGACATGAACGTTCGCATAGATGTATGCGTACGTTCGCACAAGGAAGAAGAAGGTGCGAGTTTGAACGAAAGGTCTCCTGCGGTTTAAGGCTCAATTTCGACGTTTATCCATTGTGTACGAGTCCTTTACCGTTTTGCACTCCGGTCACGAAAATCCTAAGGATTTTCTTAAAGAAACAACGTCCGAAATAAAAAATTTCCAATAAAAAATCTCCAGTCACGAAAAATTTCCAGCTCGACCCCGGCCAGAGGCTGTGCCCCTTGGACCCCGCCAGGGGCTGCCGCCCCTTGGACCCCGCTACCCGGGGCTGCCGCCCCCAGACCCCCGCAGTGAATTTATAATATCGTTGAACGAGCGCGCACTCCGCGCCTCCTAACTCGTTTGACAACGTCTATTTAAATTCTTGTCCGATCGAAGTAAATCTAATTACACAAAATAAATCGATGACACTAAAATCACCAACAATCCTCCCCTATTTTAGTGTAATCCATGACTTACTTTCTGAGATAATAGATTCAACAAACTTATGCATAAATGAAAATGTCGCGACGATTGAATTTTCATCTTAGTATATTACACATTCCAAATATTCAAATTTCGGGGTGTCTCTAAGGATTGAACCCTTGCAATTCATATGAATACATGAAGATAATATACACATAAGCTCTAAGTGCTTCTTTGTTCCAAGCTTGACACCGTATTTTACTAGCCTTGTGTCCCTATCCTTCAACGAGCATATAAAAGTCAAGTCCAAACTTTGTGAAGCGGTTAAACTTCATACTCGTATAGGTAGTTCTTTTATGTCTTGTACCTGCACATATAATTTTTCAAAAGAACTATTAAGAAGATTAACTTCAACCTCTTTAACTTGTAGTTCTGAACACATACCTTTGGATGATGCTAATGTTGTGTTCCAATCTCTTGATGTTAAGCTTTCCACATTGAATTCTACACCTAACGTCATATTAGGTGGGAATTGGGTATCTTAACACGAGAGATATCAAATGGACTTTAATCTCATCCCTTTAGTCAATTTTTGCACGAGATCTCTTCTTAACCCTTTAGTTAAGTTATCGGCTAAATTGTGTTGAGTTCTAACAAACTCAATCGATATCACACCATTTTTGATCAAATCACGGATCATGATATCTCTAACACCCATGTGTCTTGACTTACCATTATAGACTTGGCTATATGCCTTAGCCAAAGTAGCAGCACTGTCACATCTTATAGATATTGATGATATCGGTTTAGGCCACAATGGAATCTCATATACCAAATTTCTTAACCACTCAGCCTCTTTACCGGCCGATGCTAAAGCAACAAATTTAGATTCCATTGTCGATGTAGTGATGCAAGTTTGTTTCTTTGATCCCCACGAGATTGCTCCTCCGCCTAGTAAGTAAACCCATCCACTAGTAAACGAGAAATCTTCCATATTAGTGATCCAACTTGCATCCGAGTATCCTTCAAGAATTGGTGGATCTCCACTGTACACCAAATTATAATTCATAGTTTTCTTTAAGTACTTGAATACTCTTCGTATAGCTTGCCAATGGTGTGTACCAGGATTGCTAGTAAACCTACTAAGCTTTCCAACGGCATATGCTATATCCGGTCTTGTGCTAACCATGTCATACATTAAGCAACCAATAGCCCTTGAGTATTCAAGTTGAGACACGGCCTTTCCTTGATTAGCTAAAAGTTTAATGCTTGGATCCATAGGGGTGTTGACCGGAAAACTATTTTCAAAATTGAATTTCTTCAAAATTTTCTCAATATAATGAGACTGTGTAATGCATATCCCATTGTTTACTCGTGTTATCTTAATGCCTAGGATTACTTCTGCCTCCCCTTGGACCCCGCTACCCGGGGGCTGCCGCCCCCGGACCCCCGCAGTGAATTTATAATATCGTTGAACGAGCGCGCACTCCGTGCCTCCTAACTCGTTTGACAACGTCTATTTAAATTCTTGTCCGATCGAAGTAAATCCAATTACACAAAATAAATCGATGACACTAAAATCACCAACACTGTTGTGTAGAACTTATTTTGTATTCTCAAACATATTTTCTTATCGTCGAGAATAGCCGATAAATTCTTAGTTGTAACGGTAAATTAAAGGATAGCCGAGAAATACTTGGGTAAAAAGTACAAAGATAGCCTTCAAATCTTTGGGAAAACGGTCGGAGATAGTCGTGGAATCTTCATTGTATCGGTTCGAGATAGCCGTTGGGAAATCTCGGAGTAAATCCTATTCGGAAATTCTTAAAGAGGAGCCTTAAGGTACTGGATTAAAGAGTTCCCGAACTGGTAAAAAATTAGTATGTCTTTATTTTTCGCTTTTATTCTTTGTGTTTTTCATCGGTTCCGCATTTGCCTACACTAATTTTATTAAACTCCAAAAATTTTCTAAACGGCTTATTTAGTCCCCTGTAAGGCGTGGGCACATCGAGTAATTCATTGTACGTACTTGATAATCCTGTAAAAATAGTGAGAGATGAGGCCATGATTCTGATGATAGTCGAGTTTCAGTTTAGGGTGTATTGTTATGATGACTAAGGTGGGGATATAAGTCTCACGAAAATAGAGAAGAAGAGGATCGTAGAGGCGTATGAACCTCTTCTTAATGGTTCCTCTATATACACTCAAGGGAAAACTGTAATTTAGTTGTAAATATAATTACGTCCATCGAATAATTATCAATTAAACACGTAGGATATTCATAAGGTCAACAATCAATTGATTAGACAAATGATAATTCAAGCCAAATAATAAAAATTGTATCTTACATTTGTGAGTTTAGTAATTCTTGTTAATGACACTATTCACTCTATTATTATAATGTATTCCCTCCATTCCAAATTAAATTATTTGTTTACAATTCACATGGTCAAATTTTATTCACTTTCTTTCTCTATTTTCGTTACTCATTTGATAAAGTAATATAGTCATTTAACCATTTGTTTCGTACAACTTTTAATGTAGTTTTTAAAACTTGTAAACTTTATTCTATGTAATTCCACCCCGATTTTCAAATAAATTTTTTTAAAAATAACTTTAATTAAACATCGTAAACCGAACTAAATAATTTAAATTGGGATGGATTGAGTAGATCTCTATTCACATCAAATATATTTTCTCAACCTACTGAACAACAAAAATTGTAAAACCTCTCATTTAAAAAATCACAATATTGTTGCTTAAACACAAGATGTTTAGTAGTTTAGTAAATTAATCAAGATAAAAAGTACTTATGTCATGTTCTTTTGGGTTGGAAAAGTTAACTTCCAACTCCTTCGAGTTTCTTCCAACTCCTTCAAGTTTTTTCCAACTCCTTCGAGTTCCATCCAACTCATTCGAGTTTTTCCAACGACTTAAAAATGCATTTTATATGATTAATATATAATAACATTACATGTCTAAATTTATAACATATCATCTCAAACACGCATACGGATGCATTCTTTTTTTATCCAAAATTAGACTTTTCTTGCATATTTGTTTGGATGATAATTAATTGAGTGATTTTTTAACAATTTAATTCTTTCAACATTTTCCAACTCCTTGTTTTTTCCAATTCATCTTAGTTTTTTCTAATTGTTTCTAATTTTTTCCAATATCCAATTCTAAAATTCCAACAGAAAAGAACAAGGTCTTGATCTTGTTAAAATCAATATTTCCTCTTGCTATCATTTTTAAATTTTATATATCATTTTATAATTCATTTATCATTATTGATGAAGAATTTGAATTGAATAAAAAGAATTGTGGAGTAGAAGAATATGCCAATACTCATAGCGACTATACTCGGTATCAATCATTTGATTATATTCGACGTTTCTAAAATGTTTTTGTTGTCATGTCAAAAAAAATTGATGTGTTTTGTTTTTTTCTCTCTTCGGCCGGAAGGTGCTCTAGATTCTAGAACATGCATGAAAAAGACACCTTCCTTGGTTTTTAATTACTCTGTGAAGGTTTTTAAAAATCACGGTTCCTGGATTCGAACACAAGACCACAGGAGTGAGAGCAGCCTTCACAAAACATCTCGGCTATTTTCCTGCAATATTCTTTAATATAAATATTCTCAATCAAATACTTTAAAAATATACTATGTACTTTTTTTAACTAAAAATCAAATCACTTTTTATTTATAAGTTTTTTAAACAAGTAAATTTTATTTTCTATTTAATGACACAACTCAAGTAAATTAAGTTAAATTATAAATCTAGTCAAACATCAATTCTTTATTTATAAATAGAGAAACTATATTATTTTATTTACTCATATATTTGTCTTTTTTAAGTCAAAGAAACAACGTGTGTGTGTCTATATATATATAAAAGTTATAGCAGAGATGTATATTTTTTAAATCAAAGTATTTCGTATAATAAAAGTTACTTATTTTAATATAACTTTCGTATAAATCAAATATACTGTATACTTTTTTTAATATATATATATATATATATATATTATATATATATATATATATATATATATATATTGATGGATTAGGGATTTTTCCTAATCCAATATTATTTGAACAGTACAAGAAAGCCCAATTTTATCTGGCCCAAGATATAAATCAGATAAATTATTCAAGACAGAACCAGAGATATATGGACAGAAGAATATATTTGAAGTGATGTGGAGACATTTGGCGGGACCCGTGGAACACTACCACATGGAAACCACATGCCGCACATGGGCTTCACATGGACAATGTCCCCTCTTGTCTCCATCAATTATTTCCTTCTCCCCTTTAAATGCAGGCTACGAAGGAGGGAGGGGGGAGGCCAAATACTCAACAAGTCCCTACTACTATATTTTTCTTCTTCTTCTTTATGCTTGGAGCTCCATTAATGGCTCCAAGCTCCTACCATGATGTATGTGTAAATTCCCCCGAGATTAATAAAAGTTCCTCCCCCTTTGGCATGGCACCGCCTAAAAAGGCCCGTGGTTTTCTACCGATTTGGGTTTCCACGTATAAATACTTTCTCTCCGTTAATTTATTTACTTAATTTCCGGATTTCGTTATTCGGTGCGGTGCTGACCCGGTGCCGATTTCAACGGGTCGACGCCCCGAAAAAGCGGTTTCCATCACTGGCGCCACCCGTGGGACCGGTCACAAAAAGCTTTTATGCTCCGAATCCGTAATGGAGGAAAAAATGAGAGAGAAGGTAAAAAAAATTAAATGGAAAAAGGGAGAGAGACGGAGAGAGTGGGGGAGAAAAGTCAAAATAAAAAAAAGATGAGGGCATCCCCTTTTCTCTGGTCCTCAAATCGGAAAAGAGCAGCACCAGATCTGAGCAGTGAGTTCCCTCCTGCGGCGAGCCACGGACAGCGGCAGCGAGCTCCCTCATCCGGCAAGCCACGAACGGCGGCGGCAGGCCTCCGACGAGCTCCAACTTCCTCTGGCGAGCCACGGACGGCAGCTGTGAGCCTCCGATGAGCTCCCACCTATGGCGAGCCACGGACAGTGGTAGCAAGCTCACTCTTCCGGCGAGCCACGGACAGCAGCGGCGGCCCTCCGACGAGCTTCCACTTCTTCCGACGAGGCATTCCAGCGGCGGTAGGCCTCAGACTAGCTTTTTCTTCCTCTGACGAGCTCCTCTCTCTAGCGGCGGGCCATGTGCAGCTGCGAACCGGCCGACTCCTCCAGCTCCACAACTCCTCCCTCCTCCGGCGAGCCAAGGACGCCCGCAGCGAACCTCCGGCGGTCCTCTCCATGGCCCTCTCCAGCGGTCCTCTCCGCGGTGCTCTCCGGCAGTCCTCTCTGGAGGTCTTTTCAGCAAGGCTCTCCGCGGTCCTCTCTAGTGGTCCTCTCTGGAGGTCTTCTCCAGCAGTCCTCTCCAGTGGTCCTCTCCGGCGGTCCTCTCTGGCGATCTTCTCCGACGGTCCTCTCCGCGGTCCTCTCTAGTGGTCCTCTCCGGTCCTCTACGCGGTCCTCTTTAACAAGCCATGGACGGATTTGGCCTCCAGTGGACCGCTCCATCTTCATAGGTCCTTTACATGGATAGATTTGGCCTCCAGTGGACCGCTCCAACTTCATGAGTCCCTCAGATGGACGCATTTGGCCTCCAGTGGACCGCTCCAACTTCATGGGTCCCTCAAATGGATAGATTTTGCCTCAAGTGGACCGCTCCATCTTCATGGTTCCTTCACATGGATAGATTTGACCTCCAGTGGACCGCTCCATCTTCATAGGTCCTTCACATGGACAGATCTAGACTCAAGTGGACCGCTCCAGCTTCAGAGGTCCCAAAAATGGACAGATCTAGCCTCAAATGGACCGTTTCAACTTCAAGGATCCATCCAATGGATAGTTCTAGCGTTAAGCAGTCCATTCTGGTGTCATGGGTCCCTCACATGGACAGATCTAGCCTCAAGTGGACTGTTCTAGCTTCATGGGTCCTTCAAATGGATGGATCTAGCCTCAAGTGGACCGATCCAACTTCAGAGATCCATCCAATGGACGGCTCTTGCCTCTAGAGGACCGCTCCAGCTTCATGGGTCCCTCCAATGGACAGATCCGGCCTCAAGTGGACCGGTCCAATTTCTAGGAACCATCCAAGGGACAGGGCTAGCCTCAAGAGGTCCATTCCAGCTTAAGGGGTCCCTCAAATGGACGGATTTAGCCTCAAGTGGACCGCTCCATCTTCATGGGTCCCTCAAATGTACGGGTCTATCCTCCAATGGACCGCTCCATCTTCATATGTCCTTCACATGGACAGATTTGGCCTCCAGCGGACCGCTCCATCTTCATAGGTCCTTCACATGGACAGATTTGGCCTCCAGTGGACCGCTCCATCTTTATAGGTCCTTCACATGGACGGATTTGCCCTCTAGTGGACCGCTCCATCTTCATGGGTCCCTCAGATGGACGGATTTGGCCTCCAGTGAACTGCTCCAACTTCATGGGTCCCTCAAATGGACGGATCAAGCCTCAGGTGGTCCGTTCCGAGTTGTATAAGTTGATAAAAGTAATAATGTAAAAGAATAGAAAGCAGAGGTCAGTAATTAGATCAAGTTAAGTGATCGAATTACTGGAGATAATCATAGACTCCCGTACCGAGGTTGAGAAAAGATAGGATAAGGAAAAGGATTGGGGCTTAAGGATGGGCTGAAGCCCAGCCCATTAAGAACAAGCTACCCAAAAGGAAGGAATCCTATAAAGAGATTAGAGTAGGCCCCCCCTCAATTGGAGGGACAGGGACGAAGAGAAAGGTGGACGGAGATTGTCTATAATTCAATAAGAGCGGAGCGCCCAACCACCGTTAGATAGATATCGGGTGGGGGTTTAGAGGCTCCCAAAGAATATTGAAAAAAGAGCCCCGAGCAAAAGTCCTCTTCCCAAAGGCAACGAATCCCCGAGAGAAGTCCTCTCCCAAGAGGTACCGAGCTCCGAGAAAAGTCCTCTTCCCCGAGGCACCAAGTCCTCTTCCAAAGAGGCACCAAGTCCTAAGAAAGTCCTCTTCTAAGAGGCCCAAAATCCCTGAGAAAAGTCCTCTTCCAAGAGGCAACGAGTCCTCTTCCCGAGGAACTGAAAAGAAAGAAAAGTCCTCTTTCAAGAGGCACAAAGTCCCGAGAAGGTCCTGTTCTAAAGAGGCACAAAGTCCCGAGAAAGTCCTCTTCCAAAGAGGCACAAAGTCCCGAGAAAGTCCTCTTCCAAAGAGGCACAAAGTCCCGAGAAGGTCCTCCTCTAAAGAGGCACAAATCCCTGAGAAAAGTCCTCTTCCAAGAGGCACCAAATCCCCGAGAAAAGTCCTCTTCCAAGAGGCACCAAATCCCCGGAAAAGTCTTCTTTCGAGATACACTAAGTTAAATCTTTACCCACGAGGTAACGAGACCCTCCAAAAAAAAGGTCCTCTTGCCGAGGTTCCAAGAAAATTTTTATCCCATGAGGCAACCCACTGAGTCATATAGTTTTGAATCTGTCTCGTTCCCCAAGACAGACTCAAAACTAGGGGGGCATGTGATGGATTAGGGATTTTTCCTAATCCAATATTATTTGAACAGTACAAGAAAGCCCAATTTTATCTGGCCCAAGATATAAATCAGATAAATTATTCAAGACAGAACCAGAGATATATGGACAGAAGAATATATTTGAAGTGATGTGGAGACATTTGGCGGGACCCGTGGAACACTACCACATGGAAACCACATGCCGCACATGGGCTTCACATGGACAATGTCCCCTCTTGTCTCCATCAATTATTTCCTTCTCCCCTTTAAATGCAGGCTACGAAGGAGGGAGGGGGGAGGCCAAATACTCAACAAGTCCCTACTACTATATTTTTCTTCTTCTTCTTTATGCTTGGAGCTCCATTAATGGCTCCAAGCTCCTACCATGATGTATGTGTAAATTCCCCCGAGATTAATAAAAGTTCCTCCCCCTTTGGCATGGCACCGCCTAAAAAGGCCCGTGGTTTTCTCCCGATTTGGGTTTCCACGTATAAATACTTTCTCTCCGTTAATTTATTTACTTAATTTCCGGATTTCGTTATTCGGTGCGGTGCCGACCCGGTGCCGATTTCAATGGGTCGACGCCCCGAAAAAGCGGTTTCCATCACACACACACACACAGATATATATATATATATATATATATATATATATATATATATATATATATATATATATATATATATATATATATTAAAAATGTTTGAATCACTGGTTCGACCAGTAAACCAGTGAACCAGTGCCTTGACCGGTTCAATGACCGGTTCGATTCTGAAAACTATGGTTCTAACTTCGGAACTCTGAGGTTTTTTTTGGGTCGGTTCTAACATGCGACGAAAAAATAACTCCTTTGGATGAGTTATTTTTTGGGAAACTCAAAACAAATTACTTTCTCCCTCTAAATTTTGCCATTATTTCCTCCTACCAACTTTTTCATTGGACGTTACAATGTTTTTCGTATAATAAAAGTTACTCCGTATTTTTAAATTATTTTACATTAAAATAAGTATGAAATTAAAAAATAAAAATTATAAATATTTAAAAACTAAATAAAAAATTATCTTAATGGATTCTTGTTTTACCTGAAACACTTAAGCAAACATTAAGCTCTTATATTGTTTGTTAACATCAAAACATGAGGCTTAGCAAACCAAGATTAACAATTAGAGGGTATAAGAGAAAGGGTATATTTCCAAAGTGTTTAATTAAACTTGACATCAGGAAGGCCTATTATTGTGTGAGTTGGGAGTCTATCTTACAGATATGTAGCTACTAGATTTTCCTCACCAATTTATTTTCTTGTGTTGAGCATTGTATCACTACTCCACACTTCTTTGTGGAAGTCAATGGAGAGATTTATGGGTACTTCAAGGGGAGGAAAGGACTTAGGGAGGAGGACCCTATATCCCCATTGCTTTTTGTATTAGTTATGGAATTTTTAAATAGGCTCCTCCAACAAATAGCACAAACTAGTCAACCTTAATTTTGTTGATGATATAATCATAATATGTAAAGCAGAAGAAAGATCCTTGAGTTTTATCATGGAAACACATTGAGGAAATTCCAGCAAATTACTAGGTTAAGCATGAATCCTTCCAAATCTCAAATCTTTTGTGGGGGTGTGGATAGGAAAAAGCAAGAATATTTCCATAGGATAACCAACTTGTGTAACGCCCCAAAATATACCCTAGAATTATTAATGAATAATTATTCAAGTAATCAAATTGTTTTGATTAATAATAATAATAATAATAATAATAATAATAATAATAATAATAATAAATGTTATTGGGCTTTGGGCCGAAATGAAATATGTTTTAATATCCAATATCAAAATCTGGATAAGTCTCATAAAGATAAATCCAATATGTTGACTTATTGTGTAACCTTACTTTGAAATGATTTATTGAAATAAATCATGAGAATAAATAATATGAATGCAATGTAAGCACCTTTTTGAGTAAAGGTCAAATAAATCAATTTTGACTCTGTGAAAGTCAACCACCCAAAAATATGATGTCGGAAAAAGTATTACAAATAAATATGAAAATTATATCGTTCGATAGAGTTTAATTGTACGATCACAACGGTGCAAACGGATTTCAATTCGGAGAAAGTTGGACCAAAAAAGTGTTCCCCGACTGGGACCAAATTAGTCCCAATCAGGGACTTGCGTTTGGAATGGTGAACATCGCAGCCCTTCCCACTGAGACGCCAAAACAGGAACTTCATACATCACCATTGGCCTCTTCCTCCATTCTTTTGCTATATAAGAAACCCAACTTCACCATTTCTTCACCATTCTTCATCAAATTCATTCTGAGAGATAGCCTTGAGTGTGGAGAACGCAGTGGTGCTGTCAATTTGGTGTGAGGTCTCCGGAGTTGAGAGCTATTGTCGCCGGAAGTTTCGCCGGAAAATTCTCAAAATCTCCATTAAGCTTCGAGGTAAGCCCGTAGATATATCTAGTGACTAGAATGTTCATATAGATCGTTTCTACATTCATAAACGGTCATTTGGTTGAGTTTTGTGTTTGACATGTTTGAAGAACTAAGAATCGTAAACCATGATTTTGATGTTAAAACTATGAATTAATGATACCAAAATGATCTATGAACCTTGGAGAACATTTTTATATACTTTAATTGAAGTTTGGGAAGTAAAAATGACATTTCCGCAAGTTGACTCGAGGTAGAAGACGATGAATAGTCGACTATCAACTTAAAAATCGACTATGGCTTGTTCTGCAGATTTTTGGAACAAAGCTGAGCAACAGTCGATTGTCAGAATGTGACAATCGACTGTCAGCCCTCTCTGAAGTTTGATAATCGTATATCAGAGTGTGATAATCGATTATCAGCCCATTCTGAACATCAGATAGTAGATTATCAGAAGTGACAGTAGACTGTCTCCATACACTATTGAAGAAAATGAAGCCAGTAGCTAATAATTGAATTTCCTATCATATACTAATCAATTATTATTTAAAAAAAACATGATTTTTGAACTATGGAATCTTATTTTTGATGCCAATAAATTATGATTAATATAAAGATGATCTCTTGAAATAAAAATAATGTTTTGACAACTAAGAGGACTTTACGTGATGTATGACGGTAAGCTAGGGTGTTAACACTCAACGCTAGGCCGCTAATTGTTATTTAATATTATGATGATTATTGTTATGTATGACTATTGATGATGAACCCACTGATTAAAATGATTATTGTGAATGATTTAAACTATGATTTGAAATGAATACAACGATAATTATGAAATAATTCGGATTGATGAATTGTACTGTTAAGGATATCTAGAAGAACTCTAGGATATACCCATTTGGAAATTGATGATGAACTATTAAGGATATCTAGAAGAACTCTAAGATATATCTCTATTGATGTTGGTTTCTAATACTATCTAGAAGACCTCTAAGATAGATTAGAAATAGGCCTTGCGGGTATGAACCCCGGTGGCTAGGGCTAAAACGTACGTACGGGATCCAAGAACCAAACTTTAGTACCTACTCGTTTGAAGGTACCACCCACCCAACAGTGAACACTACGCTGTCGGTTTCTGGTTGGCCTTAAGTGAAGGTAAGTTTAAGATTTTCAAAACCCTTTTATCTTAAACTAGGCCTAGCTTAAAGATTATTTAGAAGTACTTTATACTGGAATATAGTTTAATTATCTAAACTAGAATTCCTTTAAGGGTTGACAAATATTAATGTGATTGGCCTTAGACTAAGAATAAGTTTAAGGATATTGTCGAATGTTGAATATTGAATAAGAATGAATATTGAATGATGATTATTGAATTGAATATTGTGAATATTATGAATGACTGATGACCATTGAATATGAATGAATATTGAATGATGATTATTGAATTGAATATTGTGAATATTATGAATAACCGATGAACGTCGAATATGAATATAAATGTTGAATAATGAATGATGAATATTGACTAATGATTATTGAATATCTGAACTGAACATTATGTGCATGATATCAAATGATTTGATTATGAATTTAGATTCAGTTTATATGGATGTTCGACGCATTAGATATGCTTACTCAGCTTCAACGCTGAGCGTGTAGTATGTTTTATTTGCTACACGCAGGTTAATAGAAAGAATGAAGTGACGTGATCCTGGATGCAGACGGAGGCGAGATTGTCGGAATGGATGTGATGGTTTTGAATTGAAGAACATAAATAAATTATGTTTGTGATTATGATTTGTTAAGGCTTCCGCAATATTAAAAACTCCGTACTGTTATGAAAAATATTATTGTGATAAATAAAAGTGTTGAAATGTTTTAAATTTTTACGATTATCAAGTTAATACTTTAGTCCGAAAGGGGCTGCAGACCTGGACGGATTAGGGTGTTACAACTTGTCCCCTTGAGAACTACCTATTAGATATTTTGGAAGTCTTATCACAACATCAAGAATCAGTGATAAGGAGTGTGACAGGCTAGTAACTAGCTTAACCTCTAAAATTACCACGTGAGCTTATAAACATTTGTCTTACGCTGGTAGAAGTAAATTGATTATTAGTTTCCTCTTTGGGATTATGACTTTCTGGAGTCAACTTTTCATCATTCCTACCAAAGTAATGAGGAAAGTGCAAGCATTTGTAGGAACTTCTTATGGGGGTGCTTCAGCCAATTATTCCAACACTCCTTTGGTCAAATGGGAAGAGGTCTGTCTACCTAAAACTTATGGGGGCATGGGCTTGCGCAATATTGTATTATGGAATAGAGCTTTTATTCATAACTATTGGTGGGATGTAGGCATGTAGCCAAAAATAAAAACAACCTCTAGGTTAAGATAAATGAGAGATATATTAAAAAGGAGAAGGGGAACTATGTGCTAAAAGGGGACTGTTGTTATTACTCGAAGAAGATCCTTCAGAATAGAAGGTGGTTTAATTCGATGCTATAACAAAAGAATATACTACGGAAGAGGGCTATAAATTGTTGTTGTGGACGAGGCAAAAACCAGGTGGACATCCTTCGTGTGGAACAGATTTACTTGTCCTATACATAAGTTCTTTACTTGGCTTATCTGCATGGGTGAAATGAATACAAAAGAGAGGATTGAGAGGTATTAAGATATTAATAAGACTTATGTGTTGTGTAAAGATGCAGAAGAAGAAATTAACCACATGAGCGGTTATACCAGTCAGCGGCAGACATAGTGCCCCCCTCGGGATAGATGATGGATCTGGCCTTTCTCTAGCTTCTTGATCGGTCTTTTCAGTCTTATTAAACTTTCTTTTAAAACTCGATCAAAACGAGTCGTTTTAAATATAAATAAAACTATCTATGGATAATTAAAACGAAAGGGTAGTGCCGCCCTTAAGTCTTTACTATGGATTTTCAAAAAATTAAACTCCTTTTAGTCCAATTTATGACACATCAATCCTTCAAGTCTCAATTTTTGAAGTTCTTTACCCTACCAATCAATGTGTTTTTTTATGTTTAAAACACTTAAATCTTTTAAGAGTTTAAATGTTACTCCGTAATGTTTTTGTTGATTTTTATATTTTCATTGGGTAATCTTTTATTTGCATTTTTGTTTTTTCTATGCTAGAAATTTTTTTTAACACTAATGCTGAAAGATTATTACTGTTAGAATATAAGAAACATTTTCTGGACCACAAGCACAAGCTTGAGCTTTTGGTTGAATTAGTTCCTTGACATATCAAGGAACCAACTCAACCAAAAGCTAAACCTTGTGGTTGTGGCCCAGAAAATGTTTCTTATATTTTAACACGCCCCCTCACGTGCAAGCGTAGTCTTTTTTTTGGAGCCTTGCACGCGAAACCTTAATTTTTTAAAACTTGGTGGCGCTGAGTTTCGAACCCTGGAACTCTTAGTCAACAAGTCTCTGATACCATGTCAAGGAACCAATTCAACCAAAAGCTTGAGCGTGTGGTTGTGACCCAGGAACAGTTTCTTATATTCTAACAATTACGATTAATTAAATTGTGAATCACTTTGTTTTGATCATTAATATTTTTTGTGTTTATTTTGAAAAACGAAATTGAAATTTGTATAACAAATAATAATTAAATCATTTTATTGAAAAAACATCATTTTATTGTTATGTTTTGAATTGTATGAATGTTATTTTTTGTAAAATATTTGAATTCTTATTTGATGTAAAATTTATCGAGTATCATTTGTGTAATTTCATTTTTAAAACATTATTTTTTTTTTATGTTTTTTAGTTTTAAAAATAAAAATTTATAAGTATTTAAAAAGTTGTAACAGTAGGGGTGTAAACAGATATTAATTGGATCAGATGTGTCATTACCAAATTCGTATCCGTTTATTTTTGTCGGACATTGAATTTGGATATGGATCTTGACAGATACTGAAAATCAAAACCATATCCACATCCGTCGGATATCGGTCGGTATCAGATATATCTGTAGCTCTATCTAATTTTTAAAATCAAATTAAATAATACTTTAATTTTAAATTAGATTAAAATCAAACTATTATTAAATCAAGTATTATTTGTTATGGGATAATTATATTCTTTATTTTCATGATTTATGATATTTTACGATAACTTCATATGATAAAAAGATATACACAACACACATATACTCATAGTTTTATATGTCTGCACATTTATTTTGTATATATATAAATATTTTATACTTTGAAATATGAATAGAAAAACAAAATATAAACATAAAAATTAGGAAAAACTATATATAACGTATCGGATATTTAGATAAATAATTATTTAAACGGATGAATATTTAGATGGGATTTTAAACGGATCGGATATACAATTACCAAATCTATATCCGTTTAGTAATCGGATTTCCTAAATCGGATACGGATAATATTCGTTTAAAGCGGATGCGGATAATTCCTCTTTAGACAGATTCAGATGCGGACGGTAATCAAATTTTCGGCTATCCGTTGACAGCCCTATGTAACAATACCAACTCGATGGGGCAATAACAAAGTAATAAATAATTTTTTTGAAAAAAATAGCCTGATGTGACAACTTTTTTAGTAATGAAAAAACAAGGTAACTATTATATCGAGCAATTAAAACTTTTAAATGCAACAAAAATAACTTTTAAAAAACAAATCAACTTTTAAAAATAGTGAGTACAATGATAAAGCAAACTCGATCTTCAAATCAAATATTTCAAGAGGTCAACTCTTGAAATGTTATAAGAAAATATTTATATTTTTTATTATCTTTAAACTTTTGATCAAGGTAATTTAGTTAGAAATATTTGCACTAAATAGAACTAAAACTTAAGTCTTTTTCTTAAATAGGACTTAAATTGTTTTTTTACTAAATAACACTTAATAATGTCCAGTAATGACAAATATTTTTACTTGAATAATGACTAAAAGTGATACATTGAGAAAAAAATTCATATGATGTTATTTAGGAAAAGTCATTGTGTTTTAGTCTTATTTAAGTAAATTCCACATTTAGTTATTCGCTTCAAGTCCCACTTTGTTTGCAATTTTTAAAAGAAAAATCAGTAACAAAACAAAATGTGCAATCAAAATAAAGAGTAAATCATGTGGAGTATATTTTTTTTGAAACATCATGTTGAGTATATTAATAAAGGATAGAGAGTAAAAATGGATTCGAAAAAAATTCACAAATTTTTAATATACTTCGAATGGTTTAAAACGGTTTGCTTCGGTTTTCAAAGCCCAAAACTAAAACGGTAAACAAAGCAAAATGGTTCGGTTTGGTTTTTGTATTAGGTTTCTACTTTTTCACTTCAAATTATGTTTTGACAAATTCGACCGATTTTGATTCATTTTTCAATTTTAGAGTTTTCCGGAAGAATATTTAACTTATAACTTATAAGTTAAAACTTCTTACATCGATTATTATATAAAATATAATATTCTTGTTGTCTTCTTTTTTAAGAACTACTTACGAAGTTTTTAAATATGTATGTTTTATTATTTATTTCTATAGTAGTTTTTAAATAAAATGAATTGAAAAAATTTGAAATTTTGATTCATTTTGTATAATGTGACAAAGATTTTGATACGGAGAAAGTATAAGATTTTTTTGGTTTTTTTCTCTTTTTTTACTCCTAATTTAGACGTTCTACCTTTAAACAATTTGACAACATATTACTATTTCATTAAGAGTACTCCATTCATCGTATGTTTTATTTCATCTATTCCAAATTAAGTTACATACGGAGTATTTATTATTCGCATAATCAGACTTTATTATTCCCCATCATAAAATGTTCTTCTCGTTTCTATTTACGAGGTTTGATCGACTTTATTTTCAATTTCAATTTATTTGATTGTAGATGTAAAATTTAGAAATAAAATTTATATATTTAAATACTGCATCAAAAGTTTTACAAAACAAGTAGGGACAAGAATATATTATTTTATCAAATAACTAACAAATATAGGTTAAAAAAAGTGATTAAAGTTTGACCGTGTCAATAGTAAGTGAGAAGAATGTTTTATGACGGAGAGAGTAACTTTCTTTCTCTATTTTCATTAATAATTTAATAAAACAATATAATTTTGTCGCATCTTCTTTCGTAGAGCTTTTGATGTAACTTTTTAACATGTAATTTTTTAAATTTCGTTTAAATTCTCACTCAAATTGCAAAATAAATTAAGGCAGACATCGTAAACTAAAACACGCATTTTATATTGAAACGGAGGGAGTAACACTTTTCATAAACATTTTTTAGGGATAAAGCTAGTTACCTCAAAATATATACTCCCTCTGTCCACCATAGATCTTCCCAGTTACTATTCACAGGGTCAAACTTTACTCACTTTGTTTACTCAATTTTACTAGTCATTTCATAAAATAATATAGTCTTGTCACCTCTAGTTTTGTAGAACTTTTCATGTAGTTTATTACTATATAAATTTTATTTTAAAATTTTACTCGTATAATCAATTAAATTGAATTAAAAATAGAGTCGGTCAAGCCTCGTAACGCGCAATGAGAAGATCATACATGGACGAAGGGAGTATATCCCAAAGGTTTGTACTTACATTTTGTGTCAATGTAAGTGCAAGATTGATGGTTGAGGAAAGTTTAAGTGTAAATCGATACACTCTTTGGGTTACATCTCGCACTTATTTTGGGTCAATGTACCCCAAAGGTTTATGCTTACATTTCACACTGATATTTTAGACCAATGTATGATCTCAAAATATAAATGTAAATCATTAGGTACATTTTAGAATGCAATCTTTAAGTACGTCTAGCACAATTCTTCTTTTAAGTCAAAACAACAACAATAAGAATTTGTATTTTTTAGTAGATATTGCATGTACTAAAAAAATAGAGAGATTGTTTCAAAAAAATTTGACAATTGATATTGGAATATGCTAGGGGTACACCAAAGGTGTACCCCAAATATGCACCACTTGCCTCTACACCATTCATTTTATTTTCTTTCTATTTTTTACTTTTTTTTTTAAAATTTTCGTTGCTTTTTTATGTGGTGATGGAGAGGGTGGGGATGTTTGGGTACACTCGTTTTCCATTGATTTTGGAAGGGATGGGGTATAGAATAATAAAGGGGAAAACAGCTAAGAAAGAGGCTCCGTCCGTACATGCAACATCCACACCCGTTCACTACTAGTAGACGCCCCCCTATTTAATGCTCTGCTCTCGCTCCAGCCCTGCTGCTGCTGGCTATCAAAAGAGCGGCCACGCCACACAGACTTTTCCACTTGTGGAGGGAGTGCTTCTAATTCGAGCCTTTCTCTCTCCTTTTTCCTACTTACTTCGTAGAGATAGAGATAGAGAGAGAGAGAGATGGGAAGAGCCCCTTGCTGTTCTAAAGAAGGGTTGAAGAAAGGCCCCTGGTCTACCAAAGAGGATTCCCTTCTCACCAATTACATTCAACAACATGGTGAAGGCCAATGGAGAGCTCTGCCCAAAAAAGCTGGTATATTTACCTTTTTTTTTATGTATATGCGATTGGTTCTTCTATCAATTTCTAAGGCTAGCTGTGAAGAGGTTGAGATATTAGATTCACTAGTGTTGAGTTACCACTTGAGAAGAGTGTCAGAGGAGTGTTAAGTTTTTTGGAAATCCAATAGCATATTCACACATTGTTAATTTGTTCTAAAATTGGTGCCAATTTTTTTGCTTAAAAAATGGGTTTTTTTTTAATGCATTAATTAAAAAAAAAACAGGGCTGCTTAGGTGTGGAAAGAGCTGCAGGCTAAGATGGATGAACTATCTGAGGCCAGGGATCAAACGGGGGAACTTTACCACCGACGAGGAGGATCTGATCGTACGGCTCCATTCTCTTCTCGGAAACCGGTGGTCCCTCATCGCCGGAAGGCTCCCCGGCCGGACCGACAACGAGATTAAGAACTACTGGAACACACATCTGGTCAAGAAGCTCAAGAGCTCCGGCGTCGAGCCCAAACCCGGGATCGGGAAACCCATCAAAGATTCCGGGAAAAGGCCCAAGAAACCGGCACACAAGAAGAAGAATAAGAAGCAGATCAAGAAATCGGGAGGCGGCGTCAAGGAGGAACGCGCGGAGGAGAAGCCGCACAAAGTGTACGCTCCGAAGCCGATCCGGCCGTCGGTTTCGCTGTCGAGGAACAGCAGCCTCGACGACCTCTCCGGAAGCGTGTCGTCCTGTTCCGGGGAGAACGGAGGTGCGGCGGCGGCGGCGGCGTTGGCCCATTTCATTCCGTGGCATATGTATGAGCTGCGGGACGGGTTCTGCGACGAAATCCTCAACGGCTGTGAGGGTTCGCCGGCGGCGGCGCATTGTGATGTTTCCGGCAACGATGGAATGCTAGATAAGGTGTATGATGAGTATCTCCAGCTTCTTTCTGAGAATTCATTTCTTGAAGACGATCTGTTGGGTTCGGATCTGTAGCGGGCCGGTTTCGGGCTTTGGATTCATTCATTCAGCCACGCCGGGTCTTTGTTTGTATAATACTCCCTCCTAGCTAGTCAGGACTCCGTATTTTTTGTCTTATTTCAACAAGTCAACAAGAACAAAAAACCAATTCTGTGGTAAGTGATTTGTTTCCGATCACCAATCTAACCATTTCTAGATAAATTATGAATAATATATGTCCGGTGTGTTTTTATCTTTAATACTTCCTCCGTTCACAAATAAATTTCTCGTTGCGCGTTACGATATTTGAATGAATTTATTTTCAAATCATTTTATATAAAAATGGTGTCAAATTTAAAAATAAAAATTACATATTAAAAAACTATATCAAAAGATCTACAAAACTATAGGTAACAAGACTAATATTTTTTATTTGTGGACGAAAGGAGTATTATTTTTTATACGTCGTTTACTTTAAATTACTGAACTTGAAATTTTGAATTTAGAAGTAGAAAATATAAAATTGGAATAGTACAAACCAAAATTGGTGCATGATTAGAAAAGTGCGTGGATTAAAAATACACAAAGAAAAAAGCTATTCATAGGGTCAAACTTTATTTATTTTGTTGGCCTAATTCTGTTATTAATTTGATAAAATAATATAATCATGTCAGCTCTAATTTTTTTAGATTTTTTCATGTAGTTTTTAAATATATAATTTTTATTTTTATAATTACATACGATTTTTCATATAAAATGATTTGAAAATAACTTCAGTCAAATATCGTAACACGCAATGAGATCATTATTATTGGACGGAAAAAGTATTTAACATGTGAAAGTCATGGAGCACAACTCTGCAAATGTTAAACCAAATCAACATGCATGGAGGTGAAGGTGCGTGTAAGTGTGTTATGCAATGTAAACATTTTGACCTCATGTACGTTGTGCGGCATCCACTCGTTTGACGTTCTCAAGAATTGTATTTGTATATTGTGTGACCCTCATCTTCAATGATCATGTTTTGTAGTATAATAGAAGCATACATAAGACGTAATTTCTTTGTTGAGAATGCACGGGCTGGGTGTGGCACAATGCGTCATTTCTGCTTTAGAATTCCAAATACTCGTTCAATATCTTTTCTTGTCGATTCTTAATATTTGGCAAATTTCTTTCTTGTGTCATCCGGGGAAAACTATATTGTTTTTGCGATAGCCGTGCAATCAGATAATATGATGTCTCCGAGATAAAACTGTTAGACATATATGGAAAGAAGTCTAGTTATAGCAGAATTGTTATTTATGTTAGTTTACTTATTTGGTGAATCCTAGTCCATGTAGGAATCCTCACCTATATAAACATCCATGTACACAATTATTCCTCAAGAGTGAATTCATAAATCAACATGGTATCAGAGCGAACAAGATCCTTTTTTCTCTCCTTTCTTGCTGTGTTACTCATAAAAAAAAAAATCGGCAGAGCCGAGCTCTCCTACCAGGCCGTGCACAGCAATGGCTTCTGCCTCTTTTGATCCTATGGATCGTCTCCCTACAGGTCTCAAGTTGTTTGTCCGGAATCTCCAATCTCTAACCCCGGTCAAGCTTGATGACACCAATTATCCCTCTTGGTCAGCCACCGTCCGTGCAAATCTCCTCGCTCATCGTCTTCTCGGCTATGTGGATGGATCTGAACCGTCTCCTCCGTCTCTTATTCTTGATGAGAAGGCTGCGTCACCGGGAAAGGATGAACCGCCGGTTATGAAACCAAATCTGGCCTATGAATCGTGGCGTATTGTTGACGCTCAAATTCGGGCCTGTCTCCTTGCTATTGTCTCACCTGCGGTTCAGACACATATTCATGCTCTTCCCACCTCGCTTGCAATTTGGAATCATCTAGAACAACGGTACAACTCTCTTTCACGAACTCATATATTTCAGTTGAAGGAGCGTCTCCATGGTGTTACTAAGGGGACCGATTCGATGCAATCCTATTTGGACATGGTTCTCACTATTGTGTCGTCTCTCAAACTGGCTCATGAAGAAATCTCTGAACAAGATATTATCCTTTGTGTTCTACGAGGTCTACCGGCCGACTATGCCTCCCTCAAGCAAAATATTCGCACCAATATTGCCACCGTCACTTTTAATCAGGTCTCCTCTTGGTTGTTGTCTGAAGAATTGAATTTATCTTTTGAGAAAAAATTGTCTCTTGGTGACTCCGGCTCTACTTCGTCTGTTGAAATTCATACTGCTCTCTACACCAACTCCAGACGAGGCAATGGTCGGGGTCGTGGCCGTGGACCACAGCGAGGCCGAGGAGGGCCTTACCGCGGCAGTCAGCCCGGCGGCAGAGGCGGCCGGCAGCCGCAGTACCGCGACGA